TTGTTAAGTGCGGACTTAACATTCCCCCTCAAATGGCGTCGCCCCGCCCCAGCGTGTGACGTCACTTCCGGTGACGCTCCGGAAGCGCGCGCACACACACACACATCCCTGGCCGGCTCCCGGAGCGACAGGATGCTCCCCTGCCGGTAAGCTTTTTCGATTTGGCAACCCTACGCCGCATACACATCACAGGAAAGTGACGTCATGACACCGGGCACACTGGGGGCGGGGCTACAACCATACAAGGGAAAACCATAGAGTTTTCCCTTGTATGGCCGTGGCCCCGCCCCCAGCGTGCCCGACGTCATAACGTCACTTCCCTGTGACGTGCACGCTGGGGCGGGGTTCCCCACGGGGCCCAATTCCCCGGCATCGGGGAATGGGCCTCTGGGGCGGGGGGATTTCCGCCCCCCGGGGGGATTTGGCAGCCCTACTGTACACTGTGTTGGTCAGGCCTAAGGTTGCCAGGTCCTTACCTTTTTCCAGCAGGGAAACTGCATGACACCATAGAGTTTTCAGGCTGAATGCTAGAGCGCCGCCCCCCCCCCAGCGATGTGTCCAGCGCAATGACGTCACCTCTGGGTGACGTCATCGCACCGGGGACGTTGGCCCAGTCCAGGCATTTTGGGGGGCCCTAAAGTGGGCAACTCCTCGCCCCCTTGGGGGATCTGGCAAGCCTAGTCAGGCTGCACCTAAAGTATTGTGTGCAGTTCTGGAGGCCTCACTTCAAACAGGATGTGGACAGAATGGAGTGGGTGCAGAGGAGAGCCACGAGGATGATCGGGGCCTGGAGACCAAGCCCTGTGAGGAAAGGCTGAAGGACTTGGGAATGTTCAGTCTGGAGAACAGGAGGTGGAGGGGGGACATGATTGCTCTCTTTAAGTATTTGAAGGGCTGTCACTGAGAGGAGGGCAGGGAGCTGCTCCTGTTGGCAGCAGAGGAGAGGACTCACAATAATGGGTTTAAATTAAAGGCGGGAAGGTACCGGCTAGATCTTAGGAAAAGCTTTTTTACAGCAAGAGTTCTGCAACAGTGGAATCAGCTGCCTGGGGAGGTAGTGAGCCCCCCCCCACTGGCAGTCTTTAAGCAGCGGCTGGACAAACACTTGTCAGGGATGCTCTAGGCTGATCCTGCATTGGTGGGGGGCGGGGTGTTGTTGGACTAGATGGCCTGTATGGCCCCTTCCAGTGCAGTGATTCTATGAAATCAGGTATTTGGACTCGAACTCAAATCAAGCTTGATTGGATGGTTTGGTCACATAGTTTACAGCTTTCATTGAGAGTGGAGACAACTTACTGGTATTAAGAGGGAACTCAGGGTTGTGATTGCAAGGGGGGGAGTGCTGAACACTAAGTTACCTGTTCTGTCTCTACTACTCACTGGATCTGGCAAAGAGACAGTTTTGGAAAGCCCAGATTTCTGTAAATAAAAAGGTCAGAATCCAGTGTTCAGGAAATGCAAATCCTGGGTCAAAGAACAAATATCAGAGCTCATTATCAAATAGGCTTTGTACCCAAAAAGGGACAGGATGATAGGTTGGTTATAAATCATGAACTAATCAGCAAAAAAATACTGATTTAAAGAATTAGTTTAAGTGGAATTTCTAATTTTTAATTGCAGCATGTAGAAGTGTGTGCACTAATTCACTTGGTATAGCAATAATAATGCACAACCTCAGGTCCTGCAGCCTGTATGCCTTTTGTACTATATCATTATTGATTTTTAGAAAAGAGGGGACCACTATACATTTAATGGATTCGTTTTCCTCTTTGTACACTAAACAAGATCACTTGTTTTTTAAACAAGTAGCTATGACAGGGATCCGCAACCTTCTTGAGCTTGCAGGCACCTTTGGAATTTTGAAACGGGGCAGTGGGCACAACCCCAAAATGACTGCTGCGGGAGGCGGAGCCAACCACAATGTCAGGAAGTGAGAATAGGTATAGCCTTAATAATAACACTTAAACCAGGGGTGTCAAACATGCAGCTTGGGGGCCGGATTAGGCCCCTGGAGGGTTTCTATCAGGCCCACAGTGAAACTGGCTGTCTTCTGCTGCTTCTTCCAGTTCTGCTGCTGCTGCATCATTGTAGCTTTGCAGCTTACAGATACACACCTGAACAGCATACTCAAGATTGCAACAGCACAGACATTTTGATGCAATAATTCAGAGCAAGAGGTGTCAGTTATGAGATACTGTTAAATAAACAAAATATTGCAAGAGTCCTAATGTTTTAAGCATGTTTTTATTTTTAAAAAAACCCTTTGTGTTTGTGTCCTTTATAAAGTTTATATCTCCGCTACCTGGCATTACATTTTATGACACACATGGCTTGGCCCAACAAGGTCTCATTTACCGGTATGTCACATCCGGCCCCCATAACAAATAAGTTTGACACCCCTGACTTAAACGTTTCAAGCAGTAGCAGTGATTAACATATTGTTTTCTTGCATACCTACAGCTTGCCTTCAGTCAAACACTTAAGAACCTTGTGCTGTGGTAGTGGGAGATGCTGCTGAAAGCAATTTTTAAAAATCTCTGTAGCCGGCCAGAGGTCATGCTGGGCAGAGTTCCACCTAGTCCCACCCAGTTTCTAAAAATATTAGGCAGGTACTAGGAAAGTTGTCCATGGGCACCATATCACCCATGGGCACCACTACACCAAGCATTGTATAGGATCACTATTTTTTAAGGACACAGTTCTTTTCTTTTACAAAAAGAGGCCTGCTTTTGATTAGCAATAACTTGCAGGAGTTGAAGGGTTAAATTCCCTCTCCCCTTCCTACGTGGCCTTAATCTGAGCATGGTTGTACATATTCAGTTTACCTCCAGAGATGGATACCTGAGCTTCATCAAGTTCTTTAGACTCAAACTATGCACAAGGCTGGATTTTAAGACTGGAACTACTGGCAAGTTTGATCCTGAAAAGCACTTTCCAAGGAACATATGGAACATATGGATTGAGACTGTGGTGCTGAGGAAGGAGGTTGTTCTCTTTGCCACCACACAGTTTCTCCAGCTGAAATGCTCCCTATAGTCTGCTCTGGGGGCAAAGTATGGGTGCATGAAGTACAGCAGCTGGTAAGCTCTGAGCTGGTGTATCCTCACTGCAAAGCCCCATGGGCTGGGAGGGGGGTGCAGAGGAAAACCCATATGGGTGGACTGGAGAGCCAGCCGTGCAGTATTCCAGCTCCCGGGCCTTATGTTTGACACCCCTGGTCTATCCCAACAATGAAAGAACTCTCAATAGTTAACTCTCGGAGGAAGGGGGGGAAACAGGCAGACAGACACTGTGCCCCACAAATGTGACTCCTTTCTCTTGAGAGGGGGTGGACTGCTGTGTCCTCCTCAAGTGATCCCCAGGTGAGAAGGGTGTGTGTGATCTGCTGAGCAAAGATTTCTTTGCAAGCTGCTTTTCTCGTAAATGTTGGCTTCAGTATTTGTTTAAACTTGCAAAATCTTGCATAACTTCTGTTTTGCTGTGGACGTGATTGCTAGGCTATTACACATGAGAGATATACAGTAACTCAGATATTTACAGAGCCCCTCTTGGACATATCAACACTTAAATAAATTATACTAAATATTAAAATACAGAAGGGCTCTGTGTATCTACTTCTGCTGCATGCTTGTATCTAGTGGCCTTGGGCAAGGACAGGGGTCATTTCCTACAGGAGCGCACAGGAGCGGAGCTCCGGCAGTAAAAGAGCCAGGGAGTGGGCACATGCAACAAGCCCCACCCCCTGCTCCCAGCAGGCCTCAGTCAGAGAAAGAAGCAGCCAGGTAAGTTGCAGAGCCCCCCCCTGCCCCCCCAGTCCAAAACAGTCCAGTGGCACCTTTATGACCAAGTTTTATTCAGGTACAAGCTATCCGTCCTCTGTGAGGACAGATCTGCACATCTCTCCCCCCCCCCCAATAGCTAGGAATCCAAAACAGTCCAGTGGAGCCTGAGTGGTGGGTGTTGCCTTCTGACACACTTCCGGTGATGTCAGGGGGTGTGTCATATGCAAATAAGTTATGCTAATGAGTTATGCTAATGAGCTCCTGCACCTCTTTTTCTACGAAATGACCCCTCATCCTCATGAACAGACACTTTCAAACATTCAGTGGAGCTAGAGAAGTGTCATGATACCGATTTTGTCTCACATTATTATTTGTGCACATAGTTGTTCTTTGCTGGATCAATTGAAGAGCTCTTTAGGCTTGAAAGCCAGTCTAATCTACGAACAGATAATGGATGACTTAAAAGAAATCCTTATTCTCTCACTCTTTTCTCAAAGCAAAATGGATCCAATACTATAAAAACAAAAAGGCGTCTTGTAACACTTTAAGATTAACAGATTTGTTACTTTTGTTCACTGCTTAATTTTTGTATCAATTGTTTACTGAACTGTATTGTAATAAGTTTATTTTACATGACTAGTTGTATGCAGTCTTGAACTTTGAAAAGGTGGGATACACATTTTAAATAAGTAAATAAATGTACTGGAAATGAGGCTCCAGTATCAATATAAAAGAATTTGGTTGGTTGGTTGGTGGCTTACTTTCTCAAAGTGCACAGAGCCACTACACATTAATAAAAAGTCTAAAAACACACACACAAATTACCAAAAGAGTACAGTATATAAAATGACAATATCACAGAATCAGTCTAGAAGGATAAAAGGTAAGGCTATCATATCACAGCAAATTTCTAACACTCTTTTAGGAAGGTGTCACATTACTTCCTAAAAGTTTGTATCCTGGGACGGAAAAGGAGTGTCTCTCTGCGCAATCTCTTCTGCAGTGCTCACAGATTAAAGACTCATACAAATGAAACTGTCTGTCTAGAATGTTGTTCAGGAGGACAAAAGAGGATTTTCTGTAAGGAAAGGAAATCCTTTTCAGAAATTTTATTAATGATTAACTGTTAAATAAATTCTCCAACAAATTCCCCAAACAGATTTGGTGGGATCAGAATATCAAAAGCTGGTTCCCCCAGTTCCTGCCACACAAGGCCAGTCATGATTTTACTGGGCATTTTCTTATTTCTGACCTTTTGTGGAAGAAGTCTGACTCAGGAGCAAACGTAAGTAAAGGATGATTATGTTTATTGTACTGCTAAAATAGTACAAGAATGTGGCTGCAAAATGTGACAGCCTTGTTGTTAGCCGGAACAAGACAGCTGAGCTATTCCTCTGGAATTTTGTTGATTCCAAGCTAGTTTCTTGGTGCAACTAAATGCTGGTCTGGATATATATATTTTTTAACACACTACGTTCCCCATTTTCCAAAGACAGCTTCTGCTTTGACCGTGTTCTTGCCTGGGGGAGGTGCCATGTTAAGATTTATTTACTGTGAGTTAGTGCAGGTCATTCTTTAGCGCTTAGCTTCCTGCCTGGAATTTCTAGAAGGCCGAGTGTCATCAGTAGATCCATGTTGTCTCTTGTCACATCTCTGTCAATACAAGTGTGTGAATGCTAAGGCCTCCTTGCAGTCTGCAGACTATTTCACACCACGCAAGTGGTATATGTATTTTGAATGGTTGTAACATATTACCGGGACACAATACTTTTCAAATACATCTTTAAGTCAAAAGGGCAAGCACAGTCTTGGCTTTAGATCAAAGTGGTAAACAGATACGGCATGTCTTCATCATGTGCAATATTGGGGGAGGCTGGCCTCAAGCAGTGATCCATGGTATGAAAATGGAGGTGTAACAACCAAGTGGCTGATTTCGTCAGAGAAATATTGTAGAGAATACAGCCTCCCATGTGAACCATCCTGTATGCTATTAACAGAGACCCAGCTTTGTGAGCCACTGCCTAATGAGACAGAAAGCAGGGCCTTTGGGATGGCGGTTAAGCCCTCCGTTTAATCTCTTATTCCAAAGAAGCCCTTCAAACAGAGGTGCTGTGGCTGAGTGGTAGAGCATCTGCTTGGTATGCAGATCCCCAGCATCTTCAGTTAAAGGGAACAGGTAATAGGTGATGTGAATGACCTTTACCTAAGACCCTGGAGAGCTTCTGCCAGTCTGAGCAGACAATAGTGATGGACCAAAACATCTGATTCAGTATAAGGCGGGTTTATGTGTTCCACTATGTTCGCATAGCCTGTTTTACAGAAGAGCTACGCAGATGAGGAAAAGGGCTACTCGGCTGTTTCTCCTCTAGTGGTTTTTGTGCAGAAAGCCACTTCTAAGTTACTTTTATACCTCTGCAGGACAAGACACAGGAGTAAAAACACCTTGGGGGAGATGTTCTGTGGAAAAACTGCCATGGAAATCACCCCTACAGGTCCTCAGTTTCAGATTACAGCCTTTCCAGTTGTAGCGGAATGCTGTTTTAATTCCTGTTGTGTCCTTATAATAAATCTGTCACACTGGTTTTATCTGTCGTGTTTATTTAAATGGTTTAATGATGATATTAACTGTGTAATTTTTAAACCACCTTGAGAATTCCTTTGGTGCCAAAAGCTAAGAACTAATAAATAAATAGGATAAAACATATAGTTGTGGACAGCATAAGATTAAAGACAGATGAATGGGATATTCATATGTAGCCCAGGAAAAAATCAGTATGCTGGGTGATTAGAGAATCTTCATAGAAGCAACAGTCTCGCTTTTGGGAAGGACATTAGCCTTGCTAAGTTTGCAATAATCAAGGCACTTTCTTCTGGCCTTCACATTGACATCAATGGGTCTGCTTTAGGGTAAGTGGTTTCTCATGTTATGTAAGATGTTTGTCATCAAATGCGTAATGGATGGATTTTCGTATATTGTTTTACTGCTATTATAGAAAGCCCCCACTTTTTCGATGTTTTTGAACAGGGCATTAGTTACTGATTTATTGCAAAACATAACTGTTTATGTTCAAAAACACTTTTTAGTGAGAGACAATAATCTCTAGCTGAATGATTGCTCAGGTGGTTACTCATGGTGGTTAAGTGTTAATACTACTCTTTACACTTCATGAAGAAAGAGGAGGAAGGCTTACGAATTGGTTTAAGTTTAAAGGAGTGGAAGTGGACCTGGGAAAGCGTTGTGTCAAAACGAATCTTGATGAGTTTGAAATAAAATATTTGTAAAATATTTTTCCAGAGGTATCTTATACCTCATAAACTGGTAGGCATATGCAGAAATTCATCAGATGTATGTTGAAGCTGTAGTTGGGGGACATGCAGATTTGATGCATCATTTGTGGGCCTGTCCAAAACGTAACCTATTTTGACAAAATGTGATTCACTTAATTAATATGTTATGCAATAATGTACCTCCAAATCCTAAGATAATTCTGTTAAGTAATTTAAAAATATTAGTAGCTTCTTCAGACATGGGGTTAGTCTCAGCTCTGTTTATAACAGCTGAGATCATTACTGCGTTATGCTGGTGGGAAAAATAGAACTCCCTTTTATAATGATTGGCTTAATCTTATATGGAATGTAGTCTTAAAAACTAAATTAACATATTACCAAAACATGCAACAGAATAATTTACATGTACAAATAAGTTTTGTGAACACTGGTCAACTTTATTATGTACTGAAATGAAAAAGATAAAGACAAAATGTATCCTTTTGGTTTTTATGAACTGTTTCGAGATATTATATAAGATGTGTTATTATGTAATACTAATCAAAAATTTAAAAATAAACATTCTTTTTAAAAATCAGATTCTATACCAGTCCAATCCAATGCAGAGATAAACACACATACAGGGTTGCCGGATTATCAAATACCCTTTGTGGCTGTGCCTTCCTTTCCTTTTCATTTTATACCCTTAGAAGCTCATTGATTCACAGATCTTGAGCAGCAGAAGATACTTGCTCCTTATGTTTTGATGCTAAAATACACTTTGCATCCTTATTGCCAGGGCTTTTTTTTAAAAAAAAAAAGGGGTGCCGGAACTCTCAAGAGGGAAATGAAGTTTTCAGACATTTTGTCGAAGAAGTTCTGGAACTCTGTTCCGGCATGTTCCCCCAGAAAAAAAGCCCTGCTTATCGCTAAGCAAAAGAGCCAGGGTTTCCAGAGTGCAGAGGGATGGTTGGTTAATTAAAGGCTTAATGTAGTGATCCCTTATATTCCCAAAGAACCTGCATTCAAGCAGGGCATGGAAGGATGTATTATGGCCACAAGAGCAGATTCTGTCAGAATAGGGCCAATTCAAAAATCTCCCACCATTGTAGGAATAATATTCAACCTTGCAAACAAAAAAGCTTTACAGTAACATGGGGGAGGGTAAGATAGTACATATAGGGGGGTAAAGATCTTGGGAAAGAAAGACCAAAGGATAGGGGTGAGCAAATTTTGTGGGCTTTCAGGATCAGACTACTATAATCAATTTCTAGGACATGGTTTATCATCAGAGAAAATGCTTGGATTTGCCCATCTCAAAAATATAATTAATTGACATTCCAACTATCATCAATTTCTCATCCAGGGCTTTCATCCAAGTCAATCTTGATTTAGAGTAGTTAACAAACCATCTTCGGCACAGAGCTGTTTTAATCTCAGTTTAAAGATATAAAGCCATGCTCTTGCTTCCAAGGATATCTGTCCGAATTCTGCCTACAATACGACGTTTGACACATAGCAGGGAATATTCAGTATTTTCCTTAAAAATTGGGCTGAGGGTTGATCAATGGTAACAAAGATAGCTTTAATCCAAATAGCTGAGCCCTAAAAGATGAGGGGAACCACTTTCAAATTAAAAGCTTGCACCACTCCAGGAATATCTGCCCCCCATTATATGGAAGAACCTATTTATAGCGCTTGTACATGGTGCTGTTCTAAGTTTGGGGGTCCAAGACAGTTCTGCTGAAAACAAAATCCCCAAACAAGAGAAAGTATTGACTTGCTCAATATTAGATCCGTTGATAGACCATTGAAATGGGTTCCATTTTCTGGTCTTGGTGAAAACTAGGATCTTAGATTTCAAATGGTTAAACACCAGGCTTTCTCAAGAGCAATAATTAGAAAAAGACTGCAAGGTCCATGGCAGCCCGACCCTAATTCAGGACAAGATCATGGCATCCTCTGCGTAGAGCAAAACAGGCACCCCAATCTCAGCTAATTTTAGTGGGTGGCAGCAGTCATTAAAGATTGTTGTTACATCGTTTAAATATAAATTAAACAAAAAAGGCATCAACAAGCGTCCCTGTCATAATCCCTTTTCCAAATTAAATTGATTTGTTAAATTCCCATCATACCCACATTGTACTTGGGCAGTCAAATCCAAATACACTGGTTGAATGAGTCCTAGGAGTCTTTTGTCCATAGTAGTTTAAATTTGTTCCACAATCTGGGGTGATTTATAGAAACAAAGGACCTGAGTTCAATGAAAGCCGCATATAGATGCCCCCCTTAAAGAACAAGTATTTCTCAGCTAGGTGATAAAGAACTAGGCAATGGTTGCATGTTGAGGAACCCCGCCTAAATCCAATCTGTTCATGTCCTGATAAGGTTTCTGATTCCTTCTGATTCAGGAGCTTCTTTAGTATATAAGCAGAATATAGCTTTTCTAAAGAAGAAAGAAGGCTGATTGTTTGATAACAGGATGGATCACCTCTGGACCCCCTTTTAAATATCGGGACAATAATAGAATTTCCCCATAAATTGGGCATTTGTCCACTGATGTTAATTTGAGTGAAAATTGGGGCCAGAACTGTGGCCCACCATTGTAGATCAGGCTTAAATAGCTCATTAGGGATTAGATCAGAGCCTGGGGTATTTCCTAGTTTTAACCCCTTGACAAGAGAGTACACCTCCTTAACTGATACCTCGGACCAAGATGCTGTTACATCAAGAGGAATATTTAGTTGCTGTTTGTATGTTTGGCTTAAGACCTCGGGTCAATGAAGCTAATAAATGAAATGGAAATGGAAATGGAGAGGAATAATAAAGGATGTACTAGGTGTACTAGCACTAGCATCGAAGAATAGCTTCTTGAAATAGCTTTCCCATGTCAGAGCGGCAATACAGCATGGGATTTTAGAGGCTGGGTTATAGCAGTATTGACAGTAGACCAGAAGGCATTATCATTGTTGTTATTAATAGCTGAAATGAGATATCCCCATTCCTTATTGAGTGCCA